TTTGCAAAGTTTCCTTGCCTGAAAATTTACTCCTCATCATCCTCATCACACCGTCTTCATCGTCACGATCCCTCTCAGTAATTTTAAAATCATCGTCTCCATTTCTTCGACAACGACGATTACATCACCGTCACGCAACGTCAATGGCTGCGATTGGTCACAGCAATCTCAATGCGAAACTCGTGAGTCTCCGATAACTCTCGTCGTGCGAGGATTTTTATCTGATTCTGATCCAACTGACCTGTTTGTGTTTTTTCCTGATCATCTCAGGTTCTGCTGGGCGACATGGGCGCTGGGAAATCCAGCCTCGTCTTGCGTTTTGTCAAGGGCCAATTTCACGAATTTCAGGTTAATCATCTTTTTTTTTTTTTAGATTTCCTCTTCTCTGCCGTCTGGTTTTTGGATTGAGTCTAACCGTCCGGTGTTTTTAAAGGAATCGACTATAGGTGCGGCGTTTTTCTCGCAGACGCTGGCGGTGAACGATGCGACAGTGAAGTTTGAGATATGGGACACGGCGGGGCAAGAGAGGTACCATAGCTTGGCGCCAATGTACTACAGAGGCGCTGCTGCAGCTATTATTGTCTATGACATTACTACTTCTGTACGTATAACATACGTGTCTCTTGTTATATACTCTTCTATTTTTTGTCTTATGAAAATGATGCGCATTTATTAGCGCTGTACTTATCTTCTGGAGCTAAACCGTTTAACTAAAAATCGAAATTTCAATGGATTTAACTATATTGGCAGCTCGGCAGCATGCTAGATTTTCTTTTCTTTATTAGTTTTTCTGTAACTTACGATCAAGAAGGAACTAATAAGAGAAATAAAGAAATTATTAATGTTTGAACTGGACTAAGATGATGATATGATTTTCTGAATGATTTAACGACATGAATGCAGAAAATTTATGTCTTTTTTTTTTCATCGAAAAGGGTTTTTCAATTAACTAATTATCATTTCCAAACTCCAGGAGTCATTTACTCGAGCTAAGAAGTGGGTGCAGGAACTCCAGAAGCAAGGTGCCTACTGCTAAACTCTGAACTCCTCTGCACGTGTTTCCCTTCTTTTCTTTTCATTTTTTTAAAAATAAAAGTATGAAATTGTATTGAAGTAAAAGTGCCAAGGGGGCACTGTCCATTTACAAAAAATTTACAAATCGATTAAACAATCGACTATAGAGCCAAGATCATTGAAGGTCTTATCTTACATGGTGGAACCAAGTACAAGGCAGGACCTTAGCAGGCTAGTTTTATAACATCATGTTATTTTTTTAAATAAGTTTTATAACATCTTGTTGTTGAATGATAATATTAAATGTTGAAGACAGATTGCATTTGGCATATCTTATTGTCTTTATGATCAAACTTTTAGTTATTTGGTTCCACCCAAATTTACACGGACTGAGTAACCTATTTAAGCTTTTTGGATATAATTTGGTTACTTCAGAGCTGGGTTGGCCACACATTAACCATTCAGTAGTACAGATGTTGAGACCTCCTTAATAAGTGTTTCTTCTACTAAACATGGAATTATGCATATATGCGTGGGGTATTATATATGAACATGCAAAGATGTTTTCGAATATTTACAATATTCGCACCCATGTACGTTGACATGTTTAATATTTTGGTAGTTTTTTTAATAGAAAGAAGTACTTTTTTAGCTAGTAGGCCTCACCATCTCTTGCTGCTTTGATGGCTATCTTGGTGCTATACACTTTGAAAATTCCCTGAGTCATAGCTTCCTTAGGGCTTTTCACGTAAAGAATTCCTGGGAAAATGACTTCTGCAGCCTCTTGCTGCACCAAAAGTTTTTCACTATTATTTTACTTTTTAGATGAAAGATATGGATATATAAACAATTGTTTTTAAGGAATCGGAAAGAAGATGGAGTCCTCTACCTTATTTTATTAGAAAAGCCCCAACATATAACCTCTATGTGAATTGCTTATTTTGTATGCAAAAGGGATAGTGCATAATTTGGTTAGCTGCAAGTTGTTCTGTGTTCCAAGCTAACATCAATTTAGATGTAACGTCATAATGTAACAACTAAAACTAATGGGCAAGGATGAGATATTTGTTACAAGGTGCTATAACATTCTACTTTGTAACTGTCACAGGGAACCCTAACATGGTAATGGCCCTTGCTGGTAACAAAGCTGATCTAGAAGACAAAAGGAGCGTAACATCTGAAGTAAGTAGCAATTTTCTATCACTCATTCTACTTGTTGGCATGGAGTTTCTTTTGTATTAATTGTCTTTTTAGTTGTGCTGTTACTTTATGAGTTTTAATCTGTTTTTTGGTTAAGGGTGCAGACCCTCCTTATCTTTATGTTGATGGCATTATTGTAACATCTTGTGGACAAAATGGCCCATAACAGTAACCTTCTCTTGAAACTGAAGAGAGGACATTTATGTTTTCACTAATTTTCCTCTTTTCTTCATTTCCTTTCCTGGTAGAAAAAAGTTCTTTGGAGTATAATAGAAAAGATAAGAGAGAGAGAAAGATGAATAGAATATAAAACATGGAAAAAATCTTTGAACTGTTTTCTGAAGTAGTTTATTGAAATAGATTTTGGTATTTCTCATCTGTGAAATTTTTTCTTTACCTATAGCTATTCAAACGTGTTTTTGGACAAATAACGGTGTTCTATACTTGTCTCTCGAAACACGATTTTGAGAACAGAATTAAAGACTTATGAAAAGATGTCCCACGAATCAGATCCAAGGGCCTACCAGCATAGAATGTGAACATAACTGCATTAGTTTAGATTATCGCTATGCTACTACATCGACGTATTTAGTTTTACCTTTCCTAAGTTGTTATTGTCTATAACAGAAGCAATGTAACACCCCGTTTTTTTTTTCTTAACGGTGTACGATAAAGCACCCATACAACACAATACCGAAATCCATATTATTCCTACCATGCACAAGAGATATCCACCTTCCATGTTCCAAATCAAT